ACTCCTCTGAACTACGATTAGTTTATCTCTGGAAGGTGAGGCAGCATCTGAGGTAGCCATAGAATCTCAACCGGGTCTTGAGTGCTTTGATCCAGTTGAACTTTCAGAGTTAGCAAAACTATTGTCTTCATCTAAGCCTTCAACTCGTATAACAGATCCAGTTCCAAAAAAGTTAATTAAGGAAATATTCCCTCTGATCTTCTTCTCCATCTATCACTGTTACAGGGTTCTGTACCAGAGGCTTTTAAAGTAATTGCAATTAAGCTTCTTGTTAAAACTTATTTACAACTAAATGACTTGATCAATCATAGACCTTTATCTAATTTTTTCTTTCTAAACTAAAATTCTTCAGAAAATAGTTGCCAAACAAGTGTATGAAAACTTCCATGTTTTTAAAGAGTTTCAATTTGGTTTAGGAGCTCATCATAGCTCTGAAAGAGCTCTAGTGAAAGTCACTAATGATAATTTCATGGTGCTCAGATAATGGACTTGTATCTGTACTTGTCTTGTTAGATCTAAATGCTGCATTTGTGATCATAATATTCTTTTGGAAATGCTTGAACATTTTGTAGGGATTAAGAGAACAACACTATGCTGGTTTAAATCTTATTTATCGGACTGATTTTGGTTTTTTCAAGTTAATGATAAATCGTCCTCATGCCGCAATCTCACTGTTTCATCTGATTGATCTGTCTCTGTAAAATGCCTTAACATGAAAACTGTTTTAAATTGGTTTTATAAATAAACTGAAACAAATTGAATTTGATTGCAGATCACTTTAGGCTACCAAATTGAGAACTAATGAAGTTATTGTTAAGTCTTTTTTTATATTCCTTTTTTGTGTTTTTTTTTTTGCCCTAAAAACAACTTTTAGTATTGTAGTGCCGTTAAGCTGCACTCTAAAGACAGAAGGACAACCTCACTCTATATTGATCTAAATAAAATCATTTAATATATCGCAAATTAGATCAATACTTTGGTCAAAGCTTACAGACTGTTGTTTTAAATGAGACAAGAGGTTCATGTACCTGGCCTCCTGGTGGAATTGCTGGTGCACTCTTTGAACTATTTTTAGAGGTTTTATGGATTTTAGAGGCAACTATAGAGAAGGTACACCACTCTTCCCTGTGTTCTGTATTCTGTACATAACACAGTATTCAGGCCTGGATATGGCCTGTGATATTACACTCAGCTTTCCCAAAAAATCTAAACAGCCAAAATAGATCCATGATAGATCCATGATCCATGAAGTCATATGATAACATATTCACACATTTCTTACCCTAATAAGGGACATTCTAACATTACAATAATAATTTTATACTAATTATATGATCATATCCTGATATTCAATGAAACTGTTTTTCTCAGAAAAGCATACACAAAATAAGTATTTTAGGTACTGTATGCTTAAATGTATTCAATTTGACCTATAATGTATATGTTGTTTCATTTTTTTGTTTCTGGGATGTACGACAGTGCAGTGTATGCATGTTCCACTCTACCCCTTGTACCACATTTGTTTGTGATTCCCCTAATTTACTCTAGCAGGATGTTTTACTGCTACTTTCTCTGTCAAGACGGATTGCACCTTACGGAAAACTTGTATTTAATAAGTACAAATCACCAATTAGGGAACTGCCTTTCTCTTTACAAAGCCAGCATTCTGACATCTGCATGTTAAGGTTTGACAAATGAAGCATCCCTCCTCTTCTTCAGCAAGAGTTGATGCTCAAATGACCTGCTAATGCCCATGAGGTAACGCCTGTAACATCCCATTAGAGAGTAATGATGCAAGAATTAAGAAAAAGGAATGACAAATAACTTGATTCCTATGTACACTCAAGAGTGTTTTAACATGAATGTCCAAAGAATTTGCAGCTATGCCTCTGTAAAAAGACTGTGCAACAAACATAGATTAAAGAAGGCAGTTGAGTACAAAATGGAAAGAGGCAGTTCAACATCAGTCATTCTAAACTTATGACAGTAAAAGTAAGTGGAAAGTGAAAACTGGTTTTCCAGAGAATAAGCTAAAACAGTGTAACCTCTATCCATAAGAGAATGAGGCATTGTATAT